GGCAGGGAGGGAGGGAGGGTGGGGGAGTAATCAGTGGGTGAGTGAACCCAAAGTGGGTTCTGTAACACATACACACCCACACACCATACACGCCCCCCTCGCACACACCGCACACACACCACAGTAGCCATGGCGGGGCCAGGAGCCCCTGTGGCCCCGAAGCTTTGCCTGGCTTCAGCTCACACCCCAGCCTGGGAAGCCCCTTCCTTCCCCGGCACCCACTCCCCCGACGTCTGGAAAAGCCCTTAAATCGCTCACCTCTTGCTCTCACACTTTCAGAGCTGGGGGTCTCTAGGGACCTGTGGCCTGGAGGGCACACTGCCTGTCAGCCAACACTCTTCAGCATAAATCCAGTCGGCCCACCGTTCCTCCGCCCCCACTCCCAGGCCACTCGCAGCGCTGCCCTGTCCCACCCGGTGCCCGGCTCGGAGCCCACAGGCTCCCATAGACCAGGACGGACACTGTCTCTGGCCCCCGCCCCCATCTGCTCTTGTCACCCCGCCCACTGGGCTCCAGCCACAATGACCCCCGGGCACAGGCAGGCCGCCTTCTCAACCTGTGCACAGGCCATCCCCTCTGCCTGGAGCACCGGGCCCTGGATGGCCACTCAGGTGGTGCTCAGGTGGACTCCATTGCAGCCCCTCTCCCTTCCCTTATCCCTTCACCACCAACCAGCCCAGGGCTTCGCTGATGGTGCCGTGGTTGTCGGTCACCCACGGGGCAGGTGGGGAGCTATCCATTTTGTTCACAGCTCTGATCCCAGTCCTGGGCACAGGGCAGAAACTCAGTAAGTGCTGATTGAAGACTCCTTCCAAGCTCAAGATAAAGGTTACTTCCTTCGGGTAGCCTTCTGAGACCCCTCCCCTCTTCCCTGCACACAGTAGGTGTCACTCAGCAGGTGAAAGTGGCAGGGGGGTGCAGACAACTGCCCTGCAGCCCCACAGCCCTTAGAGCTGACGTGCGCCAGAGGTGTGGGGACTGAGGCTCCAAAGCGGGCATCGTAGCTGATCCAGAACTGCTGAGGCCACGCACTCCTGGGCCCCTAAACTCATTGCCCCAAAACGTGCTCTGAGCCAGGACCTTGTGTCGTGATAGGTCAGGTGGTTCTAAGGTGGCTGGCTGGGTGCCTGAGCTGGGAGGTGCCCGTTAGCTTGGCTGCCCCTTGTCTGGCAGGTCACCCGTGGTGGACAGAAGCCCAAGGGGGTGTCCAGAGCTGCCTGGGCCTCTGCTGGGGTTGGGGGAGCATGACTCAGCCAGGCTACAGAGACATGTCCCCCTGAGCGGACCCCCCCAGGAAGTCACCCCAGGACACCTGTCCATGGGGTAGGGAGGTAGTCCCCAGGGGCCACACCCATGTCTGTGGGTAGAGGGCTGGGCTTTGGGAACGAGGCCCATCGCCAGACCCGGGAGCTACTGCATGGCCAGCGGGGCACACCTGGGCTCCACTCTGTTAAAACATAACCCCGCCCTGGGTGCACCTGGGTCCATGCATAGACCTTCCTAGAAAGACACACCATGATCTGGGCCAGTGGCTGCCCCTGGGGGACCAGCTGGGTGTTAACCACCAGGCAGGGTAGAGGGTGAGAGAGTGGCTTCACCCACTGCGCTCTGTGCCAGCCAGTGCTGTGCTCTGAGATACTGTTCAGCAGTGAGACAACGCGTATTCACGTGTAAAATAAACAGCTGTTTTAGAAACACAGGGGTGCTTGTTCCTCCCAGGGGGCTGGGGTGAGGGGAGCCCAGGGGGCCAGGAAGTGGAGGTGGCCATCAGAACACCTTTTCCCTTTTCTGTAGGTGTTTTAGCAAGTTCTAGAAGAGTGAGAATGTTCCTTCTAGCCCAGCTGTTTTTGTCAAAGGATAAACTGCCTCTCGAGCTGGGGGCTGCCCAGCACAGGATCATCCCCCAGGCACCGGGGACTGGGCCCTTCCCAGGCCAGGTCTCAAAGCAGAGGCCTGGAGCCTCAGTACCTGCCCAGGGCCCCAGGGGGGGCACATAAATACCCGATAAATACACATAAATAGGAGGGGCGTCCCTGGAGGCCAGTCCAGGAGCCGAGCCGGTGATCACCGGGCCGACCTGGGCAGGACACAGGTGCAGCCCACGGGCACTCGGATGAACTCGGTGTGGAAGCTGAAGGCCCCGGACGTGGGCACCCCCGCCGCATCCCGGGAGCAGGGCCGACGGCGCAGCACCAGGAGGCTCTGGACCAGCGGCACCGAGTTGAGCGCAGCTGTCTCGCGGCCTGTCTTGGCGCTGATGCAGCCCCTGCACAGGCACTCGGCAAAGGCCAGCTTCTGGGGGTAGCGGCTCTCGTCCGTGTCCACGCTGCGGGACAGGCGGGGTGTCAGAGAGCCCTGGCGGGCGCCCCCTTCCCTGCCCGCGGCCCCACGGCTGCTCCACGTGCTCAGGGGCGGCTCCGGGCCGCAGAGCGGGAGGTGTGGGGCGCTGGGAGAGTTTGGCACGCAGCTGGTGCCCAAGAAGTGAGACTGTGCGTGTGCCCCACGGCCCTCCCAGAACCCAGAAGCCCCTTCTCTCCCTGCCAGTCCCAGCCCCACCCCTGCAAGGACTCAAATGGGGGCCCCCCAAATTTTCCCAGGGGGACCCTGGTGTCTGAGGTCTGGGCTGAGGTCTGAGACACTGGGCGAGGACCAGCTCGTGGGGGAGCCTTGACCTCCCAGTGGTGGGGCGGGCCGGCCGGAGGTCAGCAGGTGAGAGCGCTGGGGCTCGGGGTGGGGGGGGGTCCCCGGGGCCCGTGCCCAGGGAGGCCCGCTCTCACCGGTATCTCCAGGGCGAGATGGAGCGCTGGTGGACGTCAGCTTCCAGCACCTCCTCGGGGCGCAGCACGGGGCACTGGTTCCCGGCCGGCGGCCCCGCGTGCCGGCCCCGGCGGCCCGCCGCCTCCAGGCCGGACACCAGCGCCACTGGCAACGCCTGCTCCCACTTGGCCGCTCGAGCCAGCAGGTGGGGAGGGGCGTGGCCCAGGGGCAGCTCCGCCGCCGAGTAGCAGCGCGGGGTCCCGGCTGTGTGGGTGCGGGCCCCCGGCCGGAGTGGGGGGCTGTGGAGAGCCAGGCTGGTGGGCGGCCAGAGCAGGAGCAGGAGGACACGGAGGGGCTGGTGGACCAGGCGGTGGGGGGTCAGCGGCGCCCCGGGGAGGGGCCCCGCCCTGCCTGCCGCTGGCTCTGCTCCCTGTGGAAAGCGGGCGGGGGGACGTAGCCTCCCTCTACAGGTGGGGAAACGGAGGCCCGGGGGGGTCTGGGCTCCTGGCTCCCTTTTGCCCCCAGATTTGGGCGGCTTCCCGGACCCTGCCGCGACGTCCTCAGCCTGGGTGTCGGGCGGCAGGCCGGGTGGCGCCGTCCAGGCGGGAGGGCGGGGAGAGGAGCGGCTCACCATCGCAGCGGGGGCTGGGCTCCGGGCTCCGCGGCGGCGCACCTGGAGGTCCCGGCGTACCCGTGGCTGCCCTGGCTGCAGCCGGCTTGCGGCGCGCTTTATACCCCGGGCCACGCCTGGGGAAAATCCGGCACCCTCCCTCCTCGGGAAGGGCCTGGCCATGCTTCCGCCTCCCCTCCCTGCAACTGTCCCTCCCCTCGGGACAGGGTGGACCCACCCGCCCTCCTCCCCCCCACCTCCAGGGACCCTACCCCAGGCCAAGCACTTGCAGATGGGGCTCAGAACGGTCTTTCCTGTGTGACAGGAACTCTCGAACCTTCTCCAAGTGCCAAGTCCTAACCCCTTGTACGTTTTTGCTGTCTGGACCTGGTGGCCTGAGGCGAGAGCGAGCTCACTTTGCGCCACTGCCCAGTCCTCACCCAGGGTTGATTCTCCCGTCCCCTCCTCCTGCCACGTGGGGAGGTTCCAGAAGGGACCGGGCGGCTGGGGGCCAGCGAGCCTCTTCAGGACTCTCTGCTGGGCTTCTGTGGTTTCAGTCAACGAAAGTGCAAGTCTGAGGTGGAGGGGGTGACAATGCCCTGGAACCTTTAAAGGGCAGGGTGCCCTAAGAAGCTTTCTAAGGAGGCCCCCGGAGCCCACCTGCACCAACTCCGTGCTGCTGGTGAGGGTGCTGGGGGTGCCTTCATTACCCTAAAAGGGAGACGGTTTCGGGCCAGATCCTGCCAAGTTTTGAATGCTGAGGTTCGGATGCCATGCTGGCGAGGGCCCGTCTGCCCTGGTCCTCTCGAATCAGTAATAAAATGTCCCGCTGAGGAGGGCCTGGGCGTGGAGGAGGGAGTCAACCTGCCTTCTGGGTTTCCTCACCTGCTGGCAGGAGCCAGCATGTACACCACGAAGGGGCCCGTCTGACTCTGGAGGCGCAGACTCGGTGGACAGGAAGACCCCTGAGAGGGGGATGGAGAAGGCAGTGGGACGCCAGGGCCCTCCCAGGACCTCCAGTGGGCAGTGTGTGACTCAGGGCCCCGAGTCCGCCCGCCCTCCCAGCCTCGGTCTGGAGGAAATGTTCCCACAGCGGGCATCGCGTCACGGCTGTTCTCCCAGCTTCTTTCTGACCGATGGATGGCCAGACACGTTGAGGCCCCAGGGCTGCTCCTGCCTACCACACCCCTGCCCGTGGCCATCCACCCTCTGCTTGCACACCTCCTGCGGCAGGGAGCTCACCACCTGTATTCATCTCCTGGGGCGGCCATAACAAAGCGCCCAAAAATGGGGGCCTTAAAACAACAGAAGTTTATTCTCTCACGGTCTGGAGGCCGGAAGCCCCAAGTCAAAGTGTCAGCAGGGCTGGTTCCTTGTGGGGTCTCTGAGAGGGAATCCTTGCTGCCTCTCCCAGCCTCTGGCAGCTCCTGGCAATCCTTGGGGCGCCGGGCTGTAAACGCACCAGTGCAGCCTCTGCCTCACTCCCACATGGCCTCTCCCCATGTGTGTCTCTCGTCTCTGTACCTTCTACAGACATTCTCTGTACCTACCCAGGGTGATCTCATCAAGAGCCTGACCTTAAGCACAGCTGCAGAGACCCTTCTCCCAGATAAAGGCACGTTCTTCCCAGGCACTGGGGCTAGGCCCTCAACATAGTTTTGGGGGACACAATTGAGCCCCTTCCACCTTCCACCAGGACAGATGCTCAGGTCCAGAGAAAGACCCTTCTTAGGCTGAGATGAGGCCCGCCTTATTGCAGGGCACCCAGGGCCTCAGAAATCCCAGTCCCTCCTGCTTCGGCCCCAAAGGTAGTGTGATCCCCTCCAGGGCAGGGACACCGTGCAGTGGACCTGCCCTGTCCCCAGGCGTGGAGCTGCCCTTGCAGAGTGAGGGGAGGGGGCACCCATGCCTGGCACTGGCCCCTGGGGGGGAATCCAAGGGGAAGTGTCCTTGCCTTCGTGGGGCCGGGGTCCCCCGGAAAGGATCTTCGGCAGTGAAAGGCTCAGGGGTCCCTACGCCAAGGGGCTGAGCTTCAGCATTTTCTGTGTCTTTGGGTGGGCAAGTCGGGGACAAACCCCGGGGCCGGGCCTTGCGCCTCCTTCCTCACTACCAGCCCGAGCTGTTTTGTGTGCACTGGTGGCCTGCCTGGGGTCAGAGTCCCAGGCACCCACGGAAGGACAGGGCGGAGCCCAGCAGTGCCTCATTCCTGCGGGCGGCTGAGGCAAGCACACCGGTACAGGGTTAGGCAATACTGGAAAGGCAGCTGCGGGAGGAAAGCTGGAGGGCGTCCTGGAGGAGGCGCCCTGGATGGCTCCGCCCCTCAAACCACACCCACCACATCTCTGCCCCCAGACCACACCCATTCGACCAAGCTCCCAAGTCCCCCTGCCTGGAGAGATGCAGAAAGGGGATGGAGGGGCACGGGGCGGGGGGCGTGGATGGAGGTAGGGGAGGAGGGATGGATGGAGACAGGCACAGAGATCTAGGGAGACTCAGACAAATGCAGAGACCACAGATGGAAGGCGGGGCAGATGGGAAAGGGCAGAGCCAGGGCAGGAAGGCAGAAACACAGGAGCCACAGGGACACTCACCAGGGTCAGTCCCTCTGAGTGCCTCTGGGGTGGCCCTGCCTGTGGCTCGGAGCCCTTGCAGCCTTGGCTGGACAGGAGCAGCCCAAGTGGGCTTGGGCTGGGGACGTGGCCTGCAGGAGGGGTTTGCTCCAGGCCCTGCCAGCTCCAGGCTCGAAGTTCTCCCCCATCCTAGAGGGAAGCCCAGCGGCAGGCCGCAGTCCCGTCTGAAGTGGGGGTGGCAATACCCTCTCCCCCTTCCCTCCTGTGGTGCGGCCTTTTTGACCATGGGGCCCCAGGCAGTCCTGCCCACAGTCAACCTAGGACACAGCCCAGTTTTCTCGTGCTCCCCAAACTTTGCACTGCCGGGAATGACCCCTTCGCCTCATGCTTGTCCACGGCCCCTCAAGGGCGGCTGCCCGGGGCAGGGGTCCCTGCCCGCTGACCCAGGGCCTGAGCCTCCTCCAGCCCAGCTCCTCCTCCCGGTGGGGGCTGACCGCCGTCCTCAGGGGCTGATGGGCCCGCAGGGGCTGAGGCGCTGGCTGAGCCGTCACGGGGGGAGCTGGATGGTTGGCAGAGAGCGAGAGGAGGGTGGAGGCCCAGGCCTTGAGGGCAACGGGGGCACAGGGCTGGCGCTGCGGGGCGGGGACTGGCAGCGGCTGTAAATCACCAGCAGGCGTGAGAAACCCACAGGAACTTAACTTTCACGGAACCGAGTTGCCCCACTAGCTCAGTGTATTCACTCATGACGCTGGAGATCCTTCACATTTGAGTTACGGAAGTTATAAACTGCAAAAATGAAATCTTTCTTTTTTTTCACCTGTTCAAGAGCGAGAGGAGGAGAGACGGGCACACTAGAAGCTGGAGGGTGCCTTGGCCTGGGGAGGGCGGCCCGAGGGCTGTGGCCCCCCTTCCCTCAAGACGAGGAGGGTTAGTATGAGAAAACTCAGAAGGGCCGAGGTTGGGCTCTCTGCCTCTGCTGTATTACACTCGGGGAAAGCACACCAGTTTCCCCCTGAGGAGGCCAGCTCCAGGACAGCACTGGCGCAGCAGACAGGGGAAGGCATGAGGGGCCGGGGCAGGCCCGGCCTGAGCTGGGAGAGGAAAGGTGAGGTGCAGCTGGGTCACAGTCCCAGGAACAGGGAGCAGTGCGTGCAAAGGCCCGGGGTGGGAAGGAGGAATGCAAACAGGCAGGGGAGGGGCTCTGTCGGGGTCTGCAGCTGTGGAGGAGGAGGGCTGGAGGGAGGGGCAGGGGTCAGTAGGCAGAAAAGAAGCTTGAGGAACTGGGAATCACTCCCACCTTTGCATATTAACCGCCTGGCAGGGCCTCAGCCCTCACGTCCCCTGGAGAGCAAAGATGCTGAGAACCCATTATACCACAGAGCCTCCCTTTTCCCACATGACTGGCCTGGAATGTTCTTTCCACTAGACCTGGGGGAGAGTTGGCTAGGGGTGTGACTCTCACCCCTCCCAGGACACACCCCTGTCCCCAGATGGCAAATGGCAAGCTGCTAGTTTAAACCCAGCTCCGGTCCAGGGGACCCAGGGCTGTAGATCCAACCCAGGCATGGGAAGCCAGGTCAGCCCAGCCCTTTGGCACAGGAGCTGGCTGGTCAGCCGGGCCAGGGGGGGGCAGTGTGCTGACACCAGCGTGGAGGACTCACTCACCTGTGGGCTCCTGGCTTCAGAAGCCATCACTGCTCGGCTGGCTCATGGGGCCCAGCGGCTGGGGTGCAGAATGCAGGGACAGGCTGTCAGCCAAGGTGTCCTGGATTCTGGCTCTGTGTCCTTGAAGGCCGCCCTTCGCCCTTCGGAGAATGGCAGTTCCCTCTGTACCTGGCTTTGACCCGAGGGTAAATCAGATAAGTCTTGAGAAATTGCCCAGACACAGTATTGAGGCCGGTGACGCAAGAAGCATCCCGTGTGCTGTGCTGTGGGTCGGGCGTGGACTGCACTGCAAACAGTCCACGCAGGAGGCCCCATGGTGTGGCACTGGCTCCTGGCCGGCTCTCCTGTCCCACAGGTCAGTGGCTACACAGCCTTGGGAAAGAGCACCCAGTAACTGAGGTAACTGAATGTAGCCTCAGGGTCACGACCCCAGGCCAGAGCCCCAGGCTGTGGCCTCCTGACGGCCGAGAACAGGGCTCTGGGAGGCATGTCGCCTGCAAGGGCTCATGGAACTCGGTTTAAAGTAAGTCACCCGAGAGCAGAGGTGCCAATGGGGGGATGGCGCGTGGGCACTCCCAGGCCCCGGCACCACTCTGCAAGTTCAACCCGCAAGAAAGGGTCCCCCCCTCCAGTGGTCTTGGTCCCGCCGGGAGGAGGGCACGGGCTGAGGAGGGCACTGCGGGCGGTGACTCTCAGACTCGACGACAGCCTCTCCCAGCCTGCAGTGAGACGGCACCGTAGTCCAGGCCGGGGTGTCTCATGTTCAGATACCTGCATGTCCGAGTGGGGTCCAACTGTGCGTTGAGGCACTGAGTGGAGAACTGGCTTTCGGGCTGGGGTCACCTCTCTGGCTCAGGGCCCGCTGCTGGGGACGGTGGGCTCTCGCTCAGGCGGAGATCTCGGTGTTCAGGAAGCCCTGCCAGGCCAGCCCCCGCGAGGAAACCAAGG